CAGGACTTGATTAGCTCTAATAATGGGAGAGGACTGTCAGGCCAGCTCAAAATCAAAACAGGCAGCGAGGAGAGCTTATGCTAGGACTTATCTGGGAAGTTGGCTGAGGAGGAGAGGAACAGTTACCTCTTCTTTCCTGACCTGTGACGAGGCTGAACGTAGACGTGTAGTTGTCACCCTTGAGGCATTCTGTCCCTTCAGTAACAGGGTCCCTGTTCAGATTGTGAAGTTGGTTGGGGTTAGTCAATTCTTTCACCTTAAGCAGAATCACGTCCCCTCGATGAAAGATCTTTGGCACTGCGTATTGGTGGGACTAGTGCTAGTTCCAGCAGCAGAGGGATCCCTTGTGTTTTGACGTTCCAGACCTGCAGAGAGAAGAGATTTCATAAGGATCGTGAGAAATATCTGGGGACTGGTCCACAGCAGAATGAAAAGTAGCAAATAATAAAGGGGCTGAAAGATCTTAGTATCTCATGAACATAATTATGGAAAGGAGCATACTGGTTACACCAAACGTCTGATCAGATATAAGTATTAATGCACCATCTAGTAATTGCGATCCATCATTCCAGTACACTGGTTAGTATTTTATTGGGTTCAAGGACAGTGAAAACATTAACATATATTCTGAAATAATTTGTGTCGATGTGGAGGTAAAGAAAGGAGGAATTCTATTTTAAATTTTGCACTGAGTTTATGTACTTCTCCTGGGTTACGTAGTCAGTGTTATTCTTAATATCAGGTTTTATTCTAATGTAGTCTTTCTCTAAATTTATCCAGCATAAAATGGAACTACAGTTAATGAGTTTCAATGTCTGTATTTTAAATCATTATCATTAAAACAAGTACTTAAAATTACTTTTGTGTCTCATGCCATTGTAAAGTTCATAAATTTCTAATGAAGACCATCTTTGTTGGACTGTTTCCACAAAAAAAACCCAGAACATAACAAACGAACCAAAACCCCGCAGTATCTTAAAGCTGAAACAGTGTCTTACATGCTCCCTAAGCATTTTTCCTTTGGAAGTGTTCAGTAAATTAATTTTTACAGGCATTGCAGGCAGGAGTTACTGCCATTTGCAGCTCATCGTTTTTGCAAATGCCTAGAGTAGCTGCTGTGCTTTCTAGGCAATTAATGGCATTTAGAGTGAGCAGTTATATGCCGAATGATGTTTCAGTGTGAAAAACTTGCTTCTGTTGGAGGACTTGTAGGTGTGTGCTGTTAAGATTACAGATCAAAAATCAGGGATTTGGTTCTTCATGAAGAGGATGCTTAAAGATAGAAACGAGGCTGTTGAGGCAGAAGAAAGGTCTTTAAAGATGTTTGGGGAAATACACATGTTTGGAGGTCAAGTCTGATTTTTAATGTGATACACTGATGTTAATTAGTTGAGAGATTCATCAAAAATTCTTCATGAGCAAGCCTACCCAGAGTATATTCTTTACAGCACTGAACTGCGTCTGTATTTTCCGTGTCACGCTAATGAAGCCAGGCTTGGCAAGGGAATTGCATGACTTCTGCTGTGGTGTTCTTCACCTAAAAAGCTCCTGTGAAGTAGACCCAAGGAATTCCAAACACCTGCCTGGAAATGACTGTGCCCTCTTCCGTGTCTCTTCCAGCTCTCCTCCGTTCGCATGCAGGGGTTGCTGCTTCTGATCTTTGTGAAGCACGTCCACCTCCCTTTCGTACGGGACATTCACACCCACTACACTCGCACAGGCCTGTATGGATACTGGGTAAGGAGGTATCTGAGACTTGATTGCCTTGGTTACGTGTGCTTATGGTGTGTGCCCCTGAACGGGTTCACGGTGGGAGAGGGGATATGTGATTTACTTAAAGATTACTAAACTGAAGAGAATATATGGTTATGTAAAAATTACTGAACTGACAAGCAGCGAGACTCGCTTGTTTGAACCTTGTATGCAAGTGCCCAGCACAGACCATACTTTTACCAGTTTATTAGCTGATATACAACAACTTCTGTAGGAAAAAATTGTATTAAATAGCAAGATTTAAAAATGTATAAATGGTGTTAATAGTTAGATTTGCAGGTGTTGACTAGTTTCAGAGCTCATTGTTAATCTTCCATACCAGGGGAACAAAGGAGGAGTCACTGCTCGCATGTCCCTCTATGGTCATACAATTTGTTTCATGAACTGCCACTTGCCAGCTCACATTGAGAACACAGAGCAGCGACTGGATGACTTTGAGAAGATTCTGGAAATGCAGTTTGAAGGAGAAAATATTCCAAGTACCTTGGATCATGAGTGAGTTGTTCAGATCCTATTCTGTCTGTGTAATTTTTGTCTGTTATATAGAATCATAGAATCACAGAATGGTTTGGGTTGGAAGGGACCTCAAAGATCATCTCGTTCCAACCCCCCTGCCATGGGCAGGGACACCCTCCACTACACCAGGTTGCTCAAAGCCTCATCCAACCTGGCCATATGGTAAACTCATGCACTGAAGAGTTTTGGTATTGGAGTTTTCATCCATTGTTTTTGTTCTGTTGAAGTTTCAGTATCTGGCTGAGAGCTGCTCAGCCTTTAAAACCTTGATTGATGATTTCTGTAGCTATAGGAATTACACTTCCATTGGGCGTCTCTCCAAAAAAACTAAGCCAAACCAAACTAAACCTGATTTGGGCCACTAATTGAGCTCTTGTTCCTTAATTCTGCAGGAATTATTTGTATGTTCCATTGTTTGCCTGTGCTAGTCTAAAGATGGTAAGAGAACCATTTAAAGCAGAGTTGAGAACATTTTAGTTTGGTAATTTATTTATTTTTTATACCCACAAAACTGCCAGGACAGTTAAATCTGGAATAGATATGTAATATCACTTTAATTGTTAATGAGTTCATTAAAATTAGATAAAAACATATGACACACGAGTTTCAAAATCATTGCATTTCTTACATTAGTATAAGTGTTTGATATTTTAATTTAATGTGTTTCATTTTCTTGATTATGTGCGTGGGCATGTACCAAACCACCTATGTCTTCTAAGAAGAAATTACAAACAGCATTAAAATAAAAATTTTGTTTCCTTAAAGTCAAGTTTGGGGTATCCACCCCTGAACAAAACGTTATAAGTAGGGATTTTCAGAGAGAAGTTAATTTACTTGAAAAGACAGCTTTCCAGTTGTTTAAAACATTGCTGATGATACACTCCAGTGCTTCGTAACAACAACTTTCCCAATAACTATAGAACACCCAGTATGTATCCTTGCTTTCCCAAGGCACTGAACCAGAGCTCTGCCTTAGTGCATTAACATAACCAACTAGTTTAGGGGTCATTAATTCTGTGAATTATTTTACCTGCTGTTAAAATTTAATTCTAAATCTGTCTCTAATAGAGATGCAAGTCATTAGGAGACTCAGGATAAGTGAATACCTAGGCAGTAACGAGCAAGCGTCAGGAATGCAAGAGACTTAAATTACTGTTTCAATTCCTTTTTGTTTTTTGTTCAGCAGCAGGTTATCCCTGTGTAAGCTTATCTATAACTTCGTAATGTTTGTGTTTAAGCTGTTTAGATTAAGTAATATAAGTGATTAGAGCACCTAATTAGCGTAATGGCTTATATTCTTCCCTCGTGTTAATGGATTCCTATAAATCTTCCTTGGTTTTTGCCTTTTTTTTCTTTTCTCAGCATTCTTTTCTGGTTTGGAGATCTAAACTTCCGGATAGCAGATTATGGCATACACTTTGTCCGGGAATCAATAAATAACAAGCGTTACAATCTGCTGTGGGAAAAGGACCAGGTATGCTGTCTTAAAATTTTGTTTGGTTTTAGTGCGTACAGACACAACACGGTAGTTAACATTGCCTCTTGACTTTCTAATTTCTGTTGAAGAACACGAATTCAGAGTGGTCGCAAGGTGGAACAGATCTAGCAGTTCGCTCTCTCACTCCTCACTCATAAGCCCCAATTCATTGCAACCTTCTTCTGCTTTTCTTCAGTTTCTTACTCGTTTGCAATGGTCATGACTGAAGCTTTCTTTGAACTTCAGGGCTTGTGAATTGTTCCTCACCTTAATTTCTTCTCCTTTTTTCTTCTCCTAATAATTATTTTTAGGAGAAGCTTATATGAAATTTATTTGAGTAGAATTGCTACAGAACATTTAAACAGATCATCTCAAGTTCTGGCAGTAACGAAGAGGCACTTCTGAATTTTTTCTTAGAAGATGCTTTCTCAGCTCCTTTTGCAATTGCCCTTTAAGCTGTGATTTTTAAACCTAGTCTTTAAAAGTTACTTTTTATTTCTGCAGTTAAATATGGCAAAAAAGAAGGAGGCATTTCTTCAGGAATTCATAGAGGGTCCTCTGCAGTTTAAACCCACCTACAAGTTCGACCTTTATTCGGATGTATATGATACAAGGTAAAAGCATAGGAAGATGAGGTTAGACATGGAATAGTAGAGTGAATATGGTGCTTGAGTAAGCAAACCCGAATTTCCTGAACGTACTGATTAACTGAGGCTCTTGCACTGTGCTCTTAGGCTCATTCAGTGGTCAGATCTGAATAAATGAGTATTTCTGGCTGAAGAAGCCTGAGTCTGCTGATTGCATGAGGGAAGTAGTGAAACAACCCACCTTTTTTTTTGGAAAGACTAGATTAACAGAATAAACCAGCGCTTGTTCAAGCTATGTCTTTTTTATTCTTTAAAGTGCCCATTAGTTGTCAGAAATGAGCAAAAGAGTAATTGTCTGCAATTTTTGTTTTCCTTCTCTATTTAAGCATTTCATTTGATACAGCTGGTATTTGAAAATAAATGTGAATGTGTCTTTATAAATTGTTTGAAGTTGAAAATGGTGTAACTTAAGTTTCCAAACTTTTTTCTGACACTAAAATTTGTTATTAAGTATTATCCTTCTGTTAAAACATAAGACTAAGTTCCTGTCTAAACAGGGGTTTTGTACTGATCTTTTTTTTTACTTCCAGAGAGCAGAAGTCCCTGTTTTGGTTTAAGTAAGAAGAGAACTTTCTGGATTTCATAGATCTGTAAATATTTCAGAATCAAAGCAATGCTCCTTCCGGAGCTTTTGATTTGATTTTTGTGAAATATTTGAAAATCAGATGACAGCTGATTTTCTTCAGGAGTTTTCTGAACCTGTCTGAAAGCTGTCATGTTATCTACTCTGCTGTTGCACTGAATATTGGAAGTTTATTCATTTGGATCCAAAGACATTTTGCTCCCTAATTGAGTGCGGAGAGGTAAAATGGGACTAGCAGTAAATCTAGTTGACAAAAAACACGTAAAATAATCCATGCCTAGGCATTCTAGGAATGATTCATAGCCTAATGGTCTGTATTGGCTCATTTGAAGAACAAAAAGTATGCTTATGCATACTGTGTGCATTCTGTTAAAGCTAGCAGATATTTTTGTGGAGTGGAGGATGATCAGTAGACCTCAAGGCAAGTGCTCTTGAAAAGTGTGCTTTGTATGAAGCACACAGTATTTTGTCATCTTTGATACTTTTTCAGTGTGGCTTTTGAGGTTTTGTTTGCCATCTAATATGGCATTTTCTGTAAAATAGTGAATTAGCTTAAAGCTGTTCTTTTGGTGTTTGCTTGCACAGCAGAGCAGACATATGGCAGCTCGTAAAGATTGCTGTCGGTTTATGTAATTGCTGGAGTAAGTGGGATATGGCCCCTTAGCCATTTAACATCTTTCCACCTTATTAAAGGTGAGCCAGACGTATATGGGAAGGGGTAAAACAAAAGTGTGTTGAATATTGAACTAAATGGCATTTCAAGTTCATGATGATTTTGATATTCAGTTATTAAACTGACAGTTTTACTTACACGTCCTGCTCATTAACTTTTATAATTCAATCCAGTCCATTCTAATTCCTCTTCCATAGGGTATGATCTTTTCTCCATTTCAATTTGAAGTGATACATCCTTACAGAGAGTTGCTGTTAAGTCTTCCTCCCACTACAGAGAGAACCACGAAAGGCTCTTCTGTTGTTATTGCTCTGGTATAAAAGGAAACTCTGTGTTACGACTGCAGTTTGATGTATTGCACAGTTGCAAGTTGCAGATGCAGCTTTCTTGATGATGGAATTTTAAAGCCTTTTGTTATGAGACAGCAATAGCTTGCAGACTTGAAATACAGGCTAGTACAAATTACAGGAACTTTAAATAATTGCTGTGTCACCTGTGATTAGTATGAGCTACCTAAGTTTGTCCGTTTTTAGTCGTTAAAAGAAACTTGTTCTCAAACGTTTTGAATAATTTCAAACATCATTCAGACTCTTCCTACGTCTTCCTTAAATTTATGCCCCTTTTCTCAGAATAATTATACATTTGAAGCTTGGGGCAGTTGCTGTATTATCTCAAAGTTCTTGCATGTTTTTATGGAGTGTTTTAGGAGAAAGTATCATTTCCCATATGAAGCTAACCCATGGAAATGCCCTTCTCCCCTTCATTTTACTTCTCTCAGAAACCTATGAAATTTATCTGTGGTAAATGGAGTTGAGTTTAAATTAAGGAACCCTTGGTGGTAAAACATACTGAACAGAGCTGTAAAATGAAGCTTGGATGTGATTGCCTTCTTTTATTAATATAATATCTTGACAGTCTTTTAACTTTGTGTAGATTTTGCACAGTATTCTTAGCTTTTGGCAACTGTTTTTCTTCTCATTTCCCTTTTATCTTACACTTTTGCAGTGAGAAGAAAAGAAAGCCAGCATGGACTGATAGAATTCTTTGGAGAGTGAAAAGTCTCTGCCAGCATGCATCAAAAGAAGGTGAATTCTCTGAAGAAGAACAAACAATTTCTGTTACTTTGAATAACTATATCAGTCACATGAGCTATGGCATCAGCGACCACAAACCTGTTACAGGAACTTTTGGGCTTGAGGTACTGTCCCTGTTACGTTGTTAAGAAAAAGTTTGTTTTACTAAGTCTTGCCTTACAGAAGCTGTTTTCCTAAACTTTGTAAGTCATAATCTCTGTGTTTCGTTCTAGTTATAGTGAAGGCAGCAAATTGCTTTCAGGTTATTTCCATTCAGTTGAGTCCCACAGCAAATGTGGCAGAGAATAACCTGGAAAGAATAACTGAAAGAATGACAGACTTGACGTACTTCAAATTCTGTTCTTTTACCTAGTTGAAGCCTCTTTTATCGGATCCTTTGGTCACACTGAGTCCTGAGGGTGAGTGGAGTGCGGAACATGATGTTCTAATCAGCTATTCTGCAGTGCCTGAATTCCCAAGCAGTGCTTGGGACTGGATTGGACTCTTCAAGGTAATGTAACTGCATCATGGCTCTGTACTCTTAATAAAGGTGGTGAATAGTCTTCTGTCATAGGACATTGCAATTCTTGCTGGTGCAGAACTCTCTGAAATACTTGTGTATCCTTCATTGCTGCTAGTTTCTGTATGCTGACAGTTTCGTTGTGTAGCATGTGAGCTCTTTTGCACCCTTTAAATTCTCTGCTAAGATAATGTAGTGATTTAAATTAGATCTAAGGAAGAAATTTTTCACTCAGAGGGTGGTGAGGCACTGGAACAGGTTGCCCAGAGAAGCTGTAGATGCCCCTTCCCTGGAAGTGTTCAAGGCCAGGTTGGATGGGGCTTTGGGCAACCTGGTGTGGTGGAGGGTGTCCTTGCCCATGGCAGGGGGGTTGGAATGAGATGATCCTTGAGGTCCCTTCCAACCCAAACTATTCTGTGATTCTATAATTCTATGATTCTATGATTTAAGTAAAATGGTACAGAAGCTGTGAAAAGGAACTGTCCTCTCCTCAGGTGTGCAGTTCAAAAGATTTGCACAGCAAAGAAAGAACAAAAATAAATAAAGTGAGTGGAAGGGTGAGAGAACAGAGCGGTTGCACCCTCTCAGAAACTAAAGATGTGCACATGCCCCGAAAGTGTTCTGATCCTAACAGTGAAGTGGTTTAATTACTTCTGTGAAGTAGTAAACATGTCTCTCACAACTTTGGATTTTTCCTGTAGTATGTTTTTTGTTTCCCTCCGAAGGCTGATGGTTTGCATCTTTCTTTGCAGGTGACTTTCAGGCACGTGAATGACTATGTTACTTATGCTTGGGTAGAAGATGATGAAGTTTCTTCTAATAAAGACAGTAAACAAGTAAGCCAATTATACTTCTTTCTAATGTAGTTTCCTGTAGAGTAGCACTCAGGGTCTGTTTGTTCTATATCCCCTTCCTTTTACGGGTTCTCTATCCTCTTTCCCAGTCGGAGCTAGTTGGAGCGATGTTACTGTCTAAAACCCCTCTTCCTAATTCGTATTAATTTTCAGGTAGTCTAGCATACCTTCGCAGGGGTGATCATATTGCTTAAGGGAGGTGATGAAAAAGCAATTTATTCCTGTAGTGGCTTTTCATTGTCCTAAAAACTACTGTCATTTTATATTTGGGTCTGTTTCTGCCACTTAAATAAGTAACTGGACATTTTTTCATCTGGTTTTCAAAGTTGTCCTAAATACTTATTGTGTGATTTTCATCATGGTTTTAAGTACCTGATATTACTCTCACAATTAGTTCCAGGTATCTGATACAACTACAGATTAGGGTTACTTGGGCTTTTCTTTCTTTTGGCTATTGAGTGTTTTGGTCCTTCTTTAAAAACGGCTATTACATAGCTTTCTAGCAGTGATTACCTGAAATGATTTCAAACAAACAAACGAAACTTACTTTGAATACAAACAATCTGTTTCCAGAGGTATTTATCTGAACAAACAGAAATTCAAATTTAATTCTAGAGACACAGTGGTGCAAGGATGGATGAGATTTTCCAGACAAGAATGGAGAGCAGTTATTTCTTGTTAGAGATTTTGTAAGTTAGTGACCGGTTTAAAACAAGAGCCCAAGTTGTATTATATTATTGTATTATATTCTGAATCTCAAAATTTCTCTGATATCATGCTTTCCTATCACTAAGCTTAAAAATCTAAGCACTGTGAGTGTTGTTTTAGCAGGATACTGTGGGCTGGAGTTTAGGAACTTCAGGATCTTTAGGACAGTACACCACGGAGTCCTGCTGTTGCCTCCAGGAGGCAGTTCATCTCCCTCCTTGCTGCTCTGTGGCCTTGTTGCTTCCCTTGCAACAGCTCTGAGTTTATTCTCACTTCTTGCAGAACCAAGTTAGCTTGCCAGCATGGTGAAGGATATTCCCTTTTCCTCCCTGAGTTAGTTTTCAGATGGTTTCATGAGTTATTTCTGTCCTCATCCTTTTTAGCTTACACTTAAAAACGTGCTTATAAATAGTAAATACCGATTTTGGTGGCGTCCTGAATGGCAGAGACTGCTTTTTTGTAAGCCCATTGCCTGTTCTTGTTCTTGTTGACAGGTTTACATGAGTGCTGCAGAAATACCTGATATGGGAGGAGAATTTTTGCTTTGTTATTACAGCAATAATTTGCAGTCAGTAGTTGGCATCAGCCAGCCTTTTCAGGTAATACATTTGGAAGCTTTGATTAACGTTGATGTGATTTTTATTTCTTTTGCTTTCACATGCATCCAAGCATAGGTGTGTGCAGCTGTATTAATCCTGGGGGAGCTGGCAGCAGGAGTAATTGCAAAAAGGATATGTGCTGGCCAACATCCAGTAAAAGAATTTGCTGATATCCTAAAAGACGCTGAGTAACTATTTTTGCAACATGTTGTTGTAATGAAATAAGACAGGTTTCTCTCTCTCAGCTTTCATTTTTGGAACTCAGACTCTGTCATGTTAGGTCCCTAGTTTCTGTAAAGGTGAGAACTCAATTCAACTTAAATGCTGCCAAATTTCTGACAAATTGTAAGAGAGCTCTTAGTGCTCCGTTCTGTGGGAGAGTTGCACAGAAGTGTTTCCTGTATATTTAGTCATTTGAATTTGGGAAAGGTAGGAAAACTGGAACTCAAGTTATTTTTCTTACAGGCTTTTTCATTTAGTTTCTGAAAGAATGACTTAACCTGCACAGACTAGATGAAGCGACCAAGCATTGCTTCTTCTACACGAGCACTTTTTTGCCAAAATCATGTTGGCTGTGCATAATTTTATGTGCCGTCATGGCTGTGCTAATGTGTTATGGAATGGTTGAAACAGAAGTTCTGCATCTTTAGAAGACTGTGACATTCCATTTCCTTAGGGGATACAGTAATGAAAGTTACTTGACTGGCTGGTATATCTTAGTGCTGCTGTTCATATTTTTCTTCCAATATTGGTGAGAAACATTGCAGAGTCTGGTATTTCTGTTGTCTCTGAGCTTAATGTCTACCACAAACTCTGCAGGATGGTTGTCAGTTGTACCTGAGTGCAGCACACTATATGCCTTTCTTTTTGTGTGACCCTTAATGTTTTGATACCAGTTTAGTGGTTTTTCTAGATTTTTTTTTTTAATTTCCTAATTGCTGCATAGATGCATCACTTACTTGCTAGAAACTGAGAAAATTGTATGTAAGACATCTTTATATAATGATGTGTTGATAGTATAAAGCAATGCAGTGTTTCCGAATGTGTTAATTTTAACTACTGTGTTTCTTCTAGATTCAGCCTCACAGAACATTAATAGAAAAGGATGTGACACAGGAGGAGAACGATTGGATGCAGAAACCTGACAATCTGGAATCGCATAATGAGTTCTGAAGGCAGAAAGGGCATTTAGTGGTCCTGATTCAGGAGTCAGATGATTCTTTATGTCTTAGTGATTATAAGCTTTTACTCTTAGAAGATGGAGTAAGACAGTGCAAGTAAGACAGGTAGGATTGTTCAGAAACTTTGTAAGCTCTTAGATAATTTATTGTGGAAACAGATATTTTTATTGTTAGGAGGAGAGTAACTCTTGCACTGGATAAAAACGGTAAAAATAGCACCTAATGAATGCTGTGTGGTTTAAGGTGATAGTCATTTCTAATACGATGATTTAACCCAAGTAAGTTGCGATCTGTAAAAGATTTTTAGGCTTGTTCCTTTTTTGTAGAGGATATTTTATTTACGATACAATATTTACTATGCTGTAACCACTTAATTGTTGATTTCCAAATTTTGAGTTTCAATGAAGTTATTTAAAAATTATTTATTAGATACAGCTAGTCAGCTTGTTGTAAAATTTTATTTGACTTTCAGATATAAGCTAATTACCTTTTGGGAAACAAATGTGGCAACAAGTCACATGAAAAGAAAATCTTTGGAGTGTATAAAGTCTCCTTTGATAGTAGATCCCTTTTCTTTATGCCTTACTGATAACTGTAGGATTTTCCATTTTTAATTTTTCATGATTGAGATACATTTATCAAAACACACTTTTCCTGATTTTTTTGAATTCTTCTTTTATAAAACAATTTAGTAATTTGCCTATTGTGTTTCTCCCTCTTGATTTAGAAAAGTAAAATAAACCCACTTTTATGCTAGTCCCTGGCTCAGAGTTAACCAGGATCCCACAATTTCTGAAAGAAATTCCTTACATTGAGCAATGCTTTAGCGTAGGTGAGCAGACCATAGTTTATGAAGCATTTGTTGGCAGAGAGCTAATGATCATGATACTAATCTCAACTGTTTTCTGTGGTCCTATTGGATTTAGAAAGCTAAAGCAATATTCAGAGTACTTCCTCATACCATCCTGCTACATAATTGCTACACTTACTACAGAAATGACGTGAGTCATAAATGGGGAATGTCAGTGGAAGAAGTTCTTTCTTAGGGCATAATCTTCGCTACCAAAATCGTAAATCACTTCAATTTATAGCAATCGGTCTGCACAATTTCTGTTTTTCTAGAGGTGCTTAGACCTTGATGCATGCTGTGCATTTGAGGGTGGAGACGTAGTAAGAAAATTCGTGTACCTTTAAAAACCTGAAAGGTAGTTAGCTTCAGAAATGGTTTTGTTTCTTGATGAAGAAGTGGAGATCTTTGGAAGAATTGGAAGAGGCACCAACATTCCACAGTATCGCAGACTGCAGTGCCAGCAAAGAGCACTTGTGAGTCTCCCATGTTCTAGATACACAGCTTCGAGCTACCTGCTGTGTGTGGTGAGTAGAGTTAGTTACTGGTCACTGTCATGCTGGTTACGGATGGAAAAGAGAAAATCTGGCTCAAGTGGAAGAGCAAAGCAAAGGATGTTGGTGTGCTTATGCTGGAATATTGCTTCAGAACTGAATGGATTCTTTTTTGCTCTTTTTCTCAAAGCCTTAGTTTTTTCAGAATTCTTTTGAGATAGAAAGTTAAGACCTTGATATCACATTTGGTTTGCAGTTACTTGCTTATATCATGAACTATATAAAATCTTCTGGGATCTGGACATCTTTGTGTACTGTGGAAACTATAACATAGTTAACTGGTTAGATAGTTGCAGTGTGGGGTTTAAGAGCACCTAGCCTGTGTAAATTTTATTTAGTTGTGTCTCAGCCTCATGCTTGGTGTTGGGAACTGTTTCCAGTTGTAAGTAGGGAGCGCAGGTTCAGAGGATACTGTGTTCATTGCATGGATTAAAACTGCCTTGAGATTTACAGTTTGTACATTCCTATTACACTTTGGAACAAGATTAGAAACAGTTTTCAAATTTGTACCAGTCTTACAAGACTTTGTTTTGCACTAAATCTTTCAGATGTATGACTTTGTGGCAATTAGGGCACCGGACAAATCCCTACCGAACTGCAAAGAGCTTGCAGTTCCCGAGCTGTACTCTGTTTCTGATTTTACTGTGTAACTGTATTGCCATACTCCATGCAAGGAGAGTCTGTGGAGAGCTCAAAGAACAGTGGTCTTTGAATTCCACGCCACAGCTGTCGCTTTACTGTGGACCAAGATCCAGTTTCTTCTGATCAGGGTGCATCTGCTGTTCATGAGCAGCTCAGAAGGGGAGCCATACCGCTGCTTTACGGGGGCGAGGAACTCCAGAGAGCTGATAACCCTCTCAGTCACTGGACACAGAAGCTGCGTGGTGTAAACTAATCCCTTGAGCCACAGGACTTCACTGAAAACACCCCCAGCAGCTGCGATGGAATCTGCTTGTGTGTTAGTAGTATGCTGCACAGAGCTGTTTACTTCCTTCCTAAGCATTATGCACACGGTAGCACTTTGTTTACGACTGTTACCTATGGTAGCTTTTCAAACTATTCCATGACCTGTAATGGTGCAATTTCTGATGAAATTTCTCTTTCTTAAAACACCTTTAATTGGATGTTATAATCACTGGAAGTGTTTTTATACTCATTTGTTTTCTTTTCGTGTACCACTAAAATAAATCCTGGCAGTGAAGTGTCCTACATGGCTTCTGTTAATTTGAGAACGAACACAGTGGTTCGGGTGAGGAGGATTAATCTGTGAATGGTGGCCTTTCTCCCAGAAACTGGTCATGGTTAATGTGCAGATACAACAGTGTTTTAGAATGGAAATACGTCAGTCATAACACAGGTGACAGGGCTTTGGACTGCAAAAGAAGGGCAAGGGCAATCTTTTAGACAAAGCAGAATAATTTTTTTTTCTATTTAAATGAATCCAGCATTAAATGGACTTCTGTTTTGGATTTTCTGTCCCCCCTCCCCCATTGAGGAGGTTTTGATATTTTCCTTGTAAAAAGCCACTTAAATTGCTTTCTTCATTTTTAAGAACAGGTTCTTCTAATTTCAGTTTTTCATAGTAATTTTTTCACTGTGTGATTCGAGATGTCTGTGAAAGATCTGCTACATTGTACTTCATATTTCAAATTTTGTGTCAAAGTTAAGAACAGGTTCTTCTAATTTCAGTTTTTCGCAGTAATTTTTTCACTGTGTGATTTGAGATGTCTTTGTGAAAGATCTGCTACATTGTACTTAATATTTCAAATTTTGTGTCAAATTGTAACAAATTTGTTATCAAATCATTTCCATCTAAGGGTAACTTTTTGTTAATTCTCTGCTGTAGGAGAATTTATTTTAAAATAGGAAATATGTCTACCAAGGAATGTTGTGTCCAGTATAGCCTTATTTAACTTCCATATATTTCTGATTCCTAGCTAACCTCAGGATGTGCAGTGTATCATTGCACATAGATAGTACAGCTCTGTGTAAACAGGAAATATTTCTAAGATGTCTTGCGTGTTTGTTAGACCCTAAAAATACGTTCTGATAAAGACTATTGTTCCTACTGCCACTACTTCCTTCTCTGCTCTTGGACATTAAGTGACACTCAGATGAACTTGTCTTTATTAATATACTGCAGTGGAAAGGCCAGTTGAACAAAGCTTGAATTAGGTTTTCCTTGAGAGAGGAAATTATATCTTTTTTGAGAGTTCTACGTTACTAACAGGAATGGCCCTTTCTGTCCTTGGATATAGGGATTCGCTTTTTGAAAGTGATTGAAATGAAGCAATTTCTTTTGTAATAACAAGATACGGCGACCGCAGAAAGTTCCTGGTACTCCTCACTGCATGAATACCAGTGGTGTTTAACTTTATACTCCTGCATTAAGCAGATAATGTCCTAGTTTCCTTATACCTGTTTTTTCTTCATACCAAGATTTTTGTGTAAAGATGGAAGCATTGGAGGCCACTTGTCTGTAGGCACAGCTTGATGAGGCTTTGGGCAACCTGGTGTGGTGGAGGCAGGGGGATTGGAACTAGATGATCTTTGAGGTCCCTTCCAACCCAAACTATTCTGTGATCTTTAACTCTCTTTCTTCAGGCACAAGCTCAAATATCGAGTCGCGTAGTGTACAGCAGTGCAGAGGGAGCTGTTCCGTGTGTGGCTGCTTTGCTCAGCAAAGGCCATGGCCCTTACCACACAGATTCGGCAGGTGGTATGCGTGGAGTTACTCTGGAAACGGATCTAGGAACTGTACTGAACTTGGTTCAATTGCTTCAGCTTAAGAAAAGTCATGTCTGTGTGTGTGTACGTCTCACCTCACTGTGGAACTGTCATCTTCCCCTTTCAAGGACTCTGCAATTAAAAGAACATCTCACACGTGCAATCTAGAAAGTAGCAAGGGAATCTATGTGGGAGCTTTTGGAGCTTGGAAGAATCACTGGAGGAAGACAGTGAAGTCAAAGGAAGTAGGAGATCTGGGAATGCAAACTGGCGAGAGGAAATGCAGAGGTGTGGGAAAAATTCAGTAAGCATTTATTAGTACCACAAAAAGAAGAAAAATACAAGAGCAAACATTTTAACCTGTTAACCATACTTTGTTTGAAACTGACAGTTATCCAGTACAAACATCGGCCCCAGCAGGGAATGCTTCAGCATGGTTATCAAGTAGGAGCTTTACTGTAACTGTGGTTTTAAAGTGGACTGCTTGCTCTTGGCAGAGACCACACCATGTTCTTTTCCCTCTTCTATTTTGTTTTCCTTTTTTTGTATATTATTTTTTCTTCAGCCTCTTTCTACTTTCTTTATCCTTCTCTTTTTTTTTTTCCTGTTGTTCTCACTTACTTCTAGCCTATTTTCAGAAGTTTTTTTTTTCATATAATTCTGGTGTCTGTGTCACAGAAATCATTCCAGTTAAACAGTCCTTACCTACCAGGCTACTAATCTTTGTAATTTCTCTATATAGGAAGAGTAGATAAGATAAGGCAGGTGTTGCTTCATATTACTGAGTAGAGTGGTTTTGTTTGGGGAAGTGACAGTGATGGTTCTTCTAAATGTGATAAAATCTCTTTTGCAGTAGAACATTAT